CATATGAAAAATTTCTAGGACCTAATGGGTAATAAGTTGATAAAGTAGGACTAGCTGATAAAAAGCCCTTAGTATTAGCTAATATTCTGGATAGATTTAAAATTAAATACGGGTTGGCCCAGATCTTATCTTTTATATAATTTAAAGCAAAATTCTTTTTTATCTTAAATGGAGAGGTAATGTTGACATCATAAAATATTTTTTATTGATTATATCTTATTAATTATAGTCAAATTTAACTGGCCTCATTTGGGAACATGTTTTTTTAGTAATTTTTTGGCTTTTTAGCTAAAATATGATGTAAAAAAAAACTAGTATATTTGGAATGACTTTTTAATTTTTTACGAAAAGATGTGCAAAAAAATAGAGAAAAAGAGAAATCTTTAATTTTTTGGTATAAGTTGTTGGCTTTTTTATTTTTTTAATGACTTTTTAACTTTTTGATTAAAAAAAACATTCGTCAAACCAGACAATTCATGGATATCGATTATGTGAATTTGTGAAAGTTGCAAAATGAAAGTTTGCAAAGATTAAATGGGTGGGGACTTGAAAGCCACGTGTAACACAAGTGTTCCCATGAAATAGGCAACATGATGGAAGTGGATCCATGAAATAAGCAACATTGTGGAAGTGGAGATGGACTTCCCATGAAATGGAAATCACTCGGATGAATGCTTAGAAATAGGCTGCATTAGAAAATAGAAGGGACCTTCAACCTAACTCACAAAACATGATATCTAGGTGTAGCTTCTATATAAAAACAGTCATTTAGCAACTAGTTAGGAGTAGCATAGTTATAATCTCTCTTTCGATTGATGTATTTTCAGTTTCATTGTTCTTATTTAAATTCAAGTAACTTATAGCAAGTGACAATTTTACTTGATTTATATCAATTCTATTCGTTTCACTTTCATTCTTCTTTTTTAATTTCTTCCAAGGAATTCATTGACCTATCAAGGCATAGAAGTCAACCACATTACTTGATCTTTTGTATTTAGTAAACTTTAAGAATCGTCCCTTGATTTTTTACTATCAATTGACCCTAAACAAGATTTTTGCTAACACTAATCTTATTTTGTATTAAGTTGTACAATGTGACGAATCTCAGATAAAATGACTTTCATAGGAAAGTGTGTCCGAACTTGTTATTTTAAAATATAATTATTTATTTTAAAAAAAATTTATTTTATCTTGTAAAAGAAATGATATTCTTTCTTACATTTCATACAATCACTAGTAGTGCATTCTCTGCCAAAAGAAAGTACAATACTATAAGGTCATGTTTGATTTACAAGATTAATAGTGAAATATTAATAATCCTATTAAATTAGTGTGGTATTCATTATCTAATTGGATTAATATCTATTGGATTAATAATCTCACCCCTACCCCATTACTAATAATCCTACAAATTTGTTGGATTAATTATCCATTGGATTAATAATCCTAAACCAAAATGTTAAAACAAACATAGGATAATTGGGCCCACGGATTAATAATCACAATCCCATACTCTAATCCACCCAATCAAACATGCAAATGTTTAGTTTACAAACACAATGCTTATTTACCAAATACAATCTCAAAAGGTTGTGGCCCAAATTATCCCTAATGCTATATTTGATTGAAAGATTTGATAAAAAATTTAGAAAGAAAAAAAAAAAGAAGTAAGTGAAATGTGAATAAAATATACTTGTATTTTACCTAATTTTACATATCTTTTTTCTTTTACTTTTCAAATTTCTTCTCAAATCTTCTAACCAAACACAACGTAAGTCTACTCAAGTTAAGCAAAGCGGTAAATCAAGAGCGCAACATATAAGTCAATGTTGAAGTCGGCCATCCGTACCTAAAATGGTACGGGTGAACAACAGACTAGCCCACCAAATTCTTTACTCTGCTAAATTTAGGTATGTTATGCAGATAGAATAGATAGATGACTTCATTAATATGATATTTCAATTATAGATTTTTCCGATTTCAAGTCATTTTCCTTAACTAGTTTACTTAGATTAACTCACACAATTCAAATTTAAATAAGAATATCAAGTATACCATAATAACTAACCAGACATGCAAACAGTATAAATCAATAGTATTATAAAACTAATGAATTTATACGAAGTTTCAATACATACATAGCTCCAACCAAACCAAACAGGATACTGCATGACTCCGAAACAATCAAATCATCCTCTATTTTACAAAGTATCTCAACCCCACACAAGTTCTCAAGTTCTAACTAACGAAAAATTTAATACCATCTCTCTAAACATACATGGACCAAAAAATGGGGCATTTCCCTAAATAAGTCAAAACACTAAATCAATTCCCAAACTAAGCTTAATTTTGAAAGAATTCTCAAAATAGGTTAAACCGCGGTTGTGAACCACGATTTCAACATATATGCGCCTGTCTCGCGTAGATAAGAAATCTTAAAATCGTGGTTACAAAACACGCTTTTGATTAAGAAATCGCGGTTACAAAATGCGTTTTTAATTAATTTTTTTTTTCTTCTGAAATCGCTGTTATGAACCACGATTTTATCCAAAAAAATAATTCTTCTGAACTCGCTGTTCTGAACCACGCTTTTATCCAAAAAAAAAATTCTTCTAAACTCGCGGTTCTGAATCACGATTTTGGCCAAAATATTTTCAACACAAATTCATTCTGACACTATGACACACATATATATTTATTCAAATTCATTCTGACACTGACACTATGACAAACATTTTCAACACGCTTTCTGTCTCTCACACTATGCCACACATATATATTTTGTAATAAAATTGAGACTAATATTATTTTAATATATAATTTATAATATAAATAAATTTTATTTTATAAAATTGAGACTAATATTAAATATATATAATAATAATTTATAATAGCAAATAATAATCAATTATATAATTTTTGTAAATATAAATCATTTTTATATAATTTTAGAAATAATTTTTTACAAATTAAATTGAAACAACCATACATACGTATGTATATAACCTGTCCAAAAGTTAAAATGATAATTATTTTTTACCCTTAAATAATATTTATTTTTTATTTTTTATTTCATAACCAAATTAATTTTTAATTTTTAAAAAAAAAATTCTAAAAATCAAACCATACATAACCTAAAAATCTTTGATAAGTCATTTTTACGTTTGTAACTTATTTAATTTATTTATTAATTTACGACATTTTTACCATTGGTAGGCATTTGGTAACCATTTCGTTTTCAGTTTTCAATTATATTTACAAAAATTAAAAAATATTATAAAAACTTGTTTGTAATTTTTTAGTTTATAATAGTGTCTCAATTTGTAAATTTGAGGGAAAAATGTAAATTCAAAAAAATAGTTTTTTGAAAAAAAAAATTAGTTTTTTGATTAAAAAATTATTAGTAAACCGAACAATTATTACTAACCAATGTAAACTCATTTTTTTGAATGTAAATGTCAAAAAATATATGAAAAAAAAAATTAATTGCAAGAAAAATTTTGTTAGTAAATTACCAATTTTTTGAATTTACATTTTTCTCAAATTTACAAATTAACACATTTTAAACTAAAAAATTAATCAAACAGTTTTATGATATTTTTTAAAATTTTGTAAATATAAATTGAAAACTGAAAACGAAATCGTACCCAAAACTGCTCAGATGGTAAAAATGTCGTAAAATTAACAAATAATTAAATAAGTTACCAACGTAAAAAATGACTTATCAAAAGATTTTTAGGCTATGTATGGTTTGATTTTTAATTTTTTTTTAAAAAAATTAAAAATTAATTTGGTTAAGAAATAAAAAATAATTATCATTTAAGTGTAAAAAATAATTATCATTTTAACTTTTGGACAGGTTATATACATACGTATGTATGGTTGTTTCAATTTAATTTGTAAAAAATTATTTCTAAAATTATATAAAAATGATTTATATTTACAAAAATTATATAATTGATTATTATTTGCTATTATAAATTATTATTATATATATTTAATATTAGTCTCAATTTTATAAAATAAAATTTATTTATATTATAAATTATATATTAAAATAATATTAGTCTCAATTTTATTACAAAATATATATGTGTGGCATAGTGTGAGAGAGACAGAAAACGTGTTGAAAATGTTTGTCACAGTGTCAGTGTCAGAATGAATTTGAATAAATATATGTGTGTCATAGTGTCAGAATGAATTTGTGTTGAAAATATTTTGGCCAAAATCGTGATTCAGAACCGCGAGTTTAGAAGAATTTTTTTTTGGATAAAAGCGTGGTTTAGAACAGCGAGTTCAGAAGAAATTTTTTTTTGGATAAAATCGTGGTTCATAACAATGATTTCAGAAGAAAAAAAAAATAATTAAAAGTGCGTTTTGTAACCGCGATTTCTTAATCAAAAGCGTGTTTTGTAACCACGATTTTAAGATTTCCTATCTACACGAGACAGGCGCATATATGTTGAAATCGTAGTTCACAACCGCGATTTAGACTATTTTAGAAATTCTTTCAAAACTAGGCTTAGTTTGGAAATTGATTTAGTGTTTTGGCTTATTTAGAGAAATGCCCCCAAAAAAATATGACTATAAACTTATACCAACATGCATTCCCAAAATCAATAAATCCAATCCATAAAGTGTTACCAGGCCTAAGGTTCAAACCAAAAACGACCAAAGTAACAAAATTCTGTTTTTAACACTTTCAGAGTTCAAACAAAAAATAACCACATCAAGTCATTTTTAACCGAGAGTTTCTTTTTAATTTCCTTAACAAGCCTAAGGTTCAAACCAAAAAAAGACATACGTAAGAAAATAACTCTTTGACCATTGTTAACACTTTTCCACCGAAAGTTCTCTTTTTGATTTCATTTTCTAACTATAATGAGATAATCCACATGAGCACTCAAAATTTATATATCCACACTTGTTCAATTTTACAAGATGCCCTTATGACTAAAATTACCAAGTATCAAGAATTTATTTTTTTTCGTTCTTTTTTCCTTGCACTCCACAAATCCAAGCATTTATATCATTAGGTCAGCTGATTGAGAGCTATAAAATGACAAACTGAGAGCACACACCTATAGGTGCAAATAGTTCACTGTGGTCTAAGAAAACCCAGCTTTCACTGGAATGAAAACAAAACAATCTGCATACACATCTACTTAAACAAATAACATTTTCACAACACAATAATGTTACAGATATCATCATGCTCATGGTTGAGCGCAAGGTGGTGCGTTAACACATTAAAGAGATACATTGACCTCGATGGAGGAGTCTGTTAAAATGATTTCTTTTGAATTGTCTGCTGCTTTGGGGTGGTCACCACAATCAAACTTCAGCCTCACACATAGAGGTTTCATGAAGACAAGTTCTCCCATCGGATCTCTCTCTGATTTCATCAAAAATTCAATGCACGGGTCCTTACCCATCGTTTCTGCTCTCTGTGGGTTCAAAATATCTGCTATCCTAACTGCTTTTTTCTCCATGCTTTCCTTCCTTGAATTTGGATTTCTTTTCAGTTTTAAATAAAGTGCTGCGTAAACGACAACCTGCACAAGAATCAGAAACGACGAATTAATACAAACAACATAGAAAACTCAGAACTTTACATGGTGGTTGGAACAGAATAATATATTTGCAACTTCGTCATCTGAAAATTCTATGTTTTAAAAAATTAAAACTAGCTAGTAGTTAAAAAGAAATGCATTTCAGGCTTTTTTCGGTGTCCTCTTTTTATCAAGCTTTGTGTGGAGATGTGGTGGGGGAGTTTCCTTGGTGAGGGTTACAGGTGTTCCATCAAATGTGGCTTTTTTTGTATGGACAGTGGCTTTTGGTAGGATCCTTATGATTAATAATTTGATTCGGCGTGGGCATATTTTAGTTAATTGGTGCTGCATGTGTTGTGAAGATGCAGAATTGGTTGATCATCTGCTGATTCAGTGTCCGGCGGAACATCTTTTGTGGGTGCATGTTTTTTCTACTTTCGGAGTGGGGTGGGTGCAACAGAGAGGGGTGGGTGATGGAGGTGCTTCGAAGTTGAGGTGGGGGTTGGACTGGGAAGCGGCGTCGCAAGGCTTGGGCTTTGGCTCCATTAAGCTTGATGTGGATACTTTGGTTGGAGCGGAATCGGCATGTTTTCCATGGTGTTGCTTGTTCAGTTTCTTGGTTAGAAGATAGATTTTTGCGAGTTCTGTGTGGTTGGAATTCAGGGCGTGTGGATCCTAATTTGTTTACATTTTTAGATTTCCTTGATGATGTGATTGACTAGTTGTTTTGTTTTTGGTTTCCTTCTTGTATTCTTTTTGCATCTCCTTGATGCTCTTTCTTCAATAAAGTTTCAAAAAAAAAGAAAAAAGAAATGCATTTCAGGCATACCTCACTTGTTCCAGGACTTGTATTGATAGCACAATCAATGCAAACTCCCTCTTCTTGTGAGTTCCCATCAGAAGTGTATCCCTCTTCAGCGCTCAATTCTATTTCTGGTGTTGAAAAGGCAAGGTCATCCAACTCATCATACCACTGTTGGGCAACACCAACCTGTATACACAGGATGAAATCTTCGAGTTACTGCTCATGAATACATTAATAATTAAACCAAGTTTTAACTTTTTTCCCCTCTTTTGACATTGACAGAGACCTTCTCTGAGGATGCCACTCTGCTCTCTGCTCCTGATACTTCAGTGGCTGCCCCTCTTGCCTGGCGCCATACGCAACCTTCTTGTAATGGTTCAACAAGCTCAGTATCTTCAGGTATATCTACATTCAACTGTATGTCAATCCTACCTGTTTCATGCAATGCAAAGTCAGCTGATCAGTCCACAATTTTTGCATCTATTTTGGATAGATACATACTTGTCTAGATTTTTTTTTTTTTTGATCGACAAATGTTAGTTGTTAGATTAGCACCAATGGGAGAAAATCTCCCCACCCATGGCAAAGCACCTAAATGCTTGCACTCCCTTCATTCAACCCCTCTAAGGGGAATTGAACCCATGACCTCCTTGGGACTAAGCCCAAAGGAAGGCATAGTGGCCAACTAAGCTAGGCCTAGTTGGTTACATACTTGTCTAGATATACAACATTTTTAATTAAATAAAACATCTAAGACTAAACAACTCAAATATCAGCAACGCAGTTCATCCAACGATAAACCTAATCCGAATTGTAGAGCTACAACACTTTACATCCAACATTTATCTTATGCTTTGGAAACAGACACATTATATGGCATGACCAGACCTTACTTGAGCAGCACAAAAATCATATTGAAGAAAATATAAAGTAGGGACAACTTCCACATTCTAACCCGAATACTTGGTAGTTCGTATCTGTCACAGTTCTTTACAAAAACCACTGCCTGCCAAACTTAAAAACATAGATTCACTTATAAGGGCAGCCACTTATTGCAGTTAAAGCCAATGGATGGGTGGGTATGTACCCAGTCCACTCCAACACCCTCTGAGTCGACTTCAAAAGCAAAAATTCCAAAATCTCAATAGATTTCCATGCAAACATCACTAAAAATACCATTTAAATTTTAGACAACAAAAGAAATTTTTTGGTTGGCACCAGATCAAAGCCCAACTAATCTCCAGGAGTGCACAGGCCCTCGGCAAGAAGTTTCCCGCAAGTACACTACAGTTAATTCAAGGGCTTTTCCCTAGTACGATGGCTCCAAGGAATTGTTAATTGTTAGCACCTAAGAAGTTTCGATCCCTAAACCTTGGAGAGAACACACCCCCAATGTTAAAATCCACCCACTACACCACTACCACCTCACCTACTCCACTAAACCTAACCCACTACACCACTACCACCTCACCTACTCCACTAAACCTAACCCACTACACCACTACCACCTCCACTTCACCTACTCCACCTACCACCTACTACCACCTACTCTTCTATATATATAGGAATCATTGTAATAGATCAAAACAACAATCATCAATCAATAAATACATAAATTCTTACACCCAAGACCCAAGGACTTGCCACTAGGCCAACCTCTTGGGGTTTAGACAACAAAAGATATTGAAGCTGAAATTAAAGCAATCAAATTGCAAATCAAAGATAAAATCAGGAGAGAAGAAAATTTCCAACCTATGGGTAACCCTTAGGGTTAGAGAGAACTGGCGGAAATTAGCTCTAAACAATATTCTGTAGTCTTCAAAAACTAAGAACGGCGACTCTTACATCCTCTATTTATAGACTAAGGCCACTAACTACAACTAATTAGACACCTAACAGACAAAGCTAACGACACCTAAACATGGAACTCATTCTCTTTTTAAAGAAGTTTATTTTACTACATCAGGACTTCCCCTCTTAAAAGAATTTGTCTACAAGTTTGGCAGTAGCTAGGTCTGTTTTAGAAGAGGAACATGCGCTGCATTTTCCTTGCCCAAAAATGATTCTCACAACTCATCCTTCCTTGAATACACCGAAGCTGCAGCCTTGGCTAAACAACCACAGGTGCAAAGTTGAGAGCCCCCATCATGCACCCGTAGCATCTTGCTAAAAATTGGAAAGACCTCTACTTTCCCAAGCCTTTTTACTACTAGTTTGCATGACTATGCTATCTGCCAGTGTTCATCTCAGTGAAATGAAACCAATAGGCTAGCAGAGATATGTCCCCCAAAACAAAAACTGAGGAATATGATTAGAATGACATGATTGATTATGCACAAGAACAACTTGAGAGAAGCTTATCATGAGATGGATTTATGCATTGCACTTCTTCCTTCCTTCCCCTTGGACACAATTTTCAAATGAGTGTTAGAACAAGCAGCTTACTCAACTAAAAACAACTTGCTATAAAGGCATAAAGGAGTACCAATCACACAGCTTCATTAGGCTCTTTAAAGCTTCCAATGATATCATTGCCTACTTGCAAGAGAATGCAATCACTGTACCACTCATTCCAAGGCATCAATTTGTCAATGCAATCATTGCACCACTCCATCTAAGGTATCAATAGTCAACTCAACTGTTTCATCTCATCTCTTTGATTCTAATTTCTGGATTTTGGTTAACCACCATTCCTTTCAAGAAGTGGAGGCAGCTAAGCATCAACACCAAATTCACACCATGACCTCTGCCACTACCTCTTTTACCCCAGTGAGCCATAGCACATGCAAAGCAAATCTCTCACAATGGACCAAGTAATCAGCACTGTTCCGAAATAGACAATCGGAAAATTCAAAACACAATTCAGTCCAATATAATGTTTCACCATGTTTCCGAACTGAATTCCAAACTGAATCAAGTGTTTCGGAATCAAATTCTAGTTAATTCGAAACAAATTCATCAACGTGAAAATTGCACTAATTTGCCAAATTGAACTTCACTTTTGAACTCAAATTGGAATCAAATTGAAACTATCGAACAAAATTTGAACAATTCTGAAACAGTCAACTAAGGTTTGGACCAAACGAACTGCAATTGAACTCATACCAGCCCCTCACAGTACTTGATTAATTCACGAATGAGGTCATGACTACAAATAGAAGACTCGACTAGGTCACATCTACCAATCGAAGAAAAGAAAATCACAATCAAATTGAAGTGAGGAAATCACAATACAAAAGGTGAAAGCTCAATCAGATCAGGAAGCCTACACTAAATTCTACATTCCAATTAGAGTTCAATCAGTATCACAGAAACCACAACTCAACTTGAAGACTCAATTTCACCCAATCAGTGTCCGACTGGTTAGATTAGGTCAGAGAAAGAGTTGTTAAATTAGGTCAGAGAAAGAGTTGTTAAGCTCAGGACTTGCAAGACACTCAAACTGAAATCATATCAAACTCAGAGCAAAGATTCAAATCAGTCACAAACCAATCAAGTTGCAGGTCACTGCCAAACCAGAATTGAATGGCAATTGATAAGAAATCTGAAATTAACTCAGATCAACCAAGGCAAAATATACTGATTTTGGGACAGTCAACAGAAACAAAGAACCATTCAAAGGCTCAAAAATGTTTCCTGGAACTAGTTAAAGCTCTGTCAATCCAATTCGGATACCAAAAAACTCATACAAAGAAGAATTAGAGATTGAGTTAACAAAATGATGCAACACAATCACAAGGAATCACAGGTCGAACTACGGCAGATTCTGGCTAGAGAAATCTTGTATCTCACTTCAAAGCTATGAAGCACCGACACTTCAAAACAAGTGTCATATCCGTCTTGGACACACGGACACGACAGGGACACGCGGACACAGACGGGTACACATACAACAATGATTTAGACCACTAAAAATACATCACTAATAGCACTAATGCATTGGGAATGGCAAAAAAAAAAAACAAACAAACAAACAAAAACAAGGCATAGAAAGTGGGCAGGACCCACTGACACATCATTAGTGCTCCCTTTTTAGTGCCCCCAAGCATTTTTCGGTACACATATGGCCACATGGCGTGTCCCCTTATTTAATTAATTTATTTTTAGGGAATACGTCAGGCACATGCCGGGGACCCTTCAGGGACATGTCAAGTTGTCTTTTCCTCCATTTTCTTTAGTACTTTTGATGAATGCTAAATGTTAAATATTGAATGTTGAATATTGGATGTTTATTATTTTTTTCTTAGATTTAAATACTTAATAGATCATCCATAAAAAATATATATATAAACTGTAAGTGTTAATTTAAAAGTGTGTTTTTTTTTTATTAATTTTTTTTTTTTTATAGAATTAGAGTTAATTTTTGTTAATATTGATTGTTTGTGGACATAATATGAATCTAGATAGCAAATAAAAATATATGAAAACATATTTTATTGTAGTGTCCCCGCTGTGTCCGTTTCCCTATTTTGTTGAAATCGTGTTACGTGTGCTTGTTAGCTTCAGAGACAATTGCGAAGAAATTTAAGCAATTTCCAACTCCTAGTTGAGATCACAACTTCAAACTTCAAATTAGGCCTATCGAAGCTTGTGAATGAGCTCAACTTGTCTAGATTAAGGTTCAATTGACTCAGGAATGGGACCCTGACATCAAATTGAGGACCAATCACTTAATCACTACTTCAAATTGAACCAATTAGGGCTCAATCATGGCTTGGAATTTGGGAAATCACAGATACGCTGGCTGCGAACCAGATTGAACCAGATCTCAGGTCTCAAACTAGATATGAAGGCTTTGGAAATTCCAAACACACTAATCGAAAAAAAATCAGTGTATTGTGGAGCATTCGAACCACATAAGGCAGGTAATTGAACTCTAGAAAGGTCATTTGTGATGCTCATTCAATATTTAAGTAAGATCTAAGCTTTAAGTCAAAGACTCAACTAAGGTTTGAATTAGTTAGGGTTTGAAGTTATTCAAGTTCAAAAGTATCTTCTACTTCGAATTTCTTCAGCAATAGCTTTGCTTAGACTTGATTTGCATCTCTACACATTTCTGGTTGCAAAGACTCAACTAAGGTTTGAATTAGTTAGAGTTAGAAGTTATTCAAGTTGAAAAGTATCTTCTACTTCGAATTTCTTCAGCAATAGCTTTGCTTAGACTTGATTTGCATCTCTACACATTTCTGGTTGCAAATCTGAGTTTGCAATGTGGATTCAAAAGTTGGCAGAGTGAAAACACGAAGAGTTGTTTTTAAACACGTTTATTTCACTACATCAGAAATTAAAATAAACAACCTTGCAAAGAAGAAAAATTAAAGTTTCAGCAACTTCCATGTACATGAGATTAATATGTCAAAGTTGTATAGATTATACCTACTGAGCGACATGTGGCATTTTATCACAAATCAATCTACTCAACAGTTACACACATATATTTACATGTAAGGGAAAATATCAGATAAATGGGAACGTAATTGCAAATCAATGGAGTGCAAGTGAGAAATAAGTCAACATCAATCAATCAATCCTAACTTCACATATAGAAGTAAGCTTGCAATGGCATTCTAACAGAAAAGTACTGAAACCATTTTAACAACTGCACAGTGCATCATCATGCAGTGCATCATCATGCAGTGCATATGCCTTATCCAATAGAGTCATATTGTGGAGTGTACACAGCACAGAGAAAAATACCTGGCAACAAACTGAAACATTGAACATGGTCAACGTGAACTTCTGACAGTAAATCTCCGCTGTAACATCAATGGTGAAATTAAGGGGGGGAAATTAAAAAAGTAAAAAATAAATAAAAACTTAAGGAGTGAAAGAAATTAAGTTACATGAACTCATATTCACCTCTATAAAGAAAATAGACTTACACATCATAAACTCTCTCCAAAGAGGATGCTAACCAATAAGGAAGTCCAAGGATCCCCAAGTTTGAGAAGTGGAAGCTTGAAATAAATCCAGATTCTCTACTGAGTTTCAAAACCCTCTGACCAACTTCACAAACACACCTTGTCAGAAGATAAATCATATACAAGAAGTTTAAACACTTAGAAGTAGAAAGTAATGCATCCATTGAAGTCTTGGTACCTGTATCACAAACAACTATATGGTCCTGAAATGTTGCTATCGAAGACATAAGACCAGCACAAGTAATCTCGCCCAATGCACTATTATTACCAACTAGCTGCTGCAACCAATCACCTGGAATCTGCTTCAAAAGTGATGATTTTTCCAGGACCATCGGTCCACATCTCTCCAGAATCTTTGGAAACCCTTAAAATGACAAGTTAATAATAATTGACATTGTCAGCTAGAAAACAATGTAAACAGGAGCCTGAGGGGAGAGGGGTGTTAAAGATTTGAAACCTCTGACAATTTCTTTGATCACTCCTGAAGCCAAATCCATAATCCATAAAGTTTCAAAGCTGCATAAAAAACAATTCAAAGAGAGGCTTCAAAGCTCACATCAAAGAGGTAGAGATAGCTGTGGATATGCAGATCAATAGTAGATCATTGTTAATTTAAAATTATACATGCTTGTTGCAAAAATGGCATATTAAAGATCAGCCACCAGCTTGTTTTCTAGTTTTGTTTGATGGGAAGTTCAACCTCAGTAGTCGAAAATTATTAGATTTCAAATTATTAAAAACACTTGGGGTCTATTTGCTCTCTTACCTCTCTCCATGTTTTTCATATCATTTTTGTGCAAAAGAATTTTTTGAAAATTCAATAAAAACTTAAAATTATTTCCAAAAAATGGGGTGCTTTCAAAAATATTTCCCAAAAACATTTTTTGGAAATAGTTTTCCAAACAAGTTTTCCTCGTCAATTTCCGTATTTTCCGTATTTTAGAATAGAAAACATAAAACAAAAACCATACCAAACATGCCCTTAATCTTTTTTTATATATGTAAAATAAGTTTTGCAAATTTGCCCTTGCCTTTTTCATAGAATCTAATTTAAGCTTTCAAAAAAATTTCAATCATATGGCAAAATTTAGCAGGCCTTTTAAATTTTTAAGGAGAAGACGCAACCATCAACAGTAAAAAATTATTGTGGGAAGGACTCAGGTCACCCCAACCCCGCTCAAGGGAAATAAATACCCTTTGCTTGAGGCCTATATCCACCTAATTGAAGAGTTGTTTCATTCATGCACTAATCCAAACAGACCCACGGTTTCTATAGGAAGAAAATATACAAAAACAGCAGACAATAGTTTTGATCACCACCAATATGTGCCAGAAGAGCTGTATAGATATGCCATGCATACCGAATCCATAATAATTGGGGGAGCCATCAAACAAGGGGGAAAAAAATTCACTCATATACAACCTTGAGCAAAGATTTGCTCGCATCATTTCTAGGAGATAGAACAACTGTATGCACCTCGACTTTTGCATTTGGAGGTTTCTTAGAGTGTACTTCATTCCCATACGAAATGGGGGAATGTTTCTGAAACTTGTTTTCATGCCACTTTTTTGCCATAATTACAGCATGCTCGCTTCAAATTATCATTTATGTAACACTTAGCCCATTTTGTTGATCATCCGCTAGTTGTGTGGATGAAAAATGATGACGTCATCCATTTTTACATTAACAAGTCCTTTATACCCTCAATTGAGAACGAGGAATATCCTCACCATGGCAGCCATGGCTACCCCTCACATAGTTCTCACCACTATCTCCTTTCCTCCACCCCCACCCTCCCCCTCTTGGAAGTCGCCCTCATGTCCACCTCCCCTTTTCTCCACCTTCCACCCCAATCCTTCAACCAGGAAAAAAAAAAATTACAGAAGTCAAATTTAAAAATAAAAATAAAAAATGTGGAGGAAGAAATCAATACATCAACAAAGGCTAAGGTGGTGCACCATCTCCCTCTCACAGTGGCATGCAGTGGGGAAGGACTGGTTGTAATTCCATTCCTCAATTAAAATAGCCCTAGCTTGATTGCAAAGTGACTTAACCTCGGCTTCAGTTAGAGGCTTGCACTCCATCAAGTGCTCAGTCTGCTAATCCAAATCTGCATACGAAGGCTTGATTGATTAGAGACCAGACCCAACTGCGGGGTTGGCGTGCGGTGAGGGTGATGACATTGGAACGAGGAAAGAAAAGGCGGGGGTAACAGTGAAGGAATGAGAAAAAGAGAAGGTTGGCGTTGGAATAAAGGAACAAGATAGGAGGGCAAGTAAGTTGTAATGTGAAGTTTAGGTTTAGGGTTAGGGTTAGGAAGAACAACAAAAAATAATGTGAAGGGATAGGAGAGCAATTTCATCATTAGCCTTTTGAGAAAAATTAATACTTAAAACAGAAAATATATAACGGAAAAAAAAAAGTAATTTCGTAATTTCTATTAGTCCCATTTACTCTTCCGTTGATGAACGGATGGTATGCGGTGCACTATAATATATCCAAACCTTAGGAGAGATCAATGTATTGCTCAAAACTTGGCAACAAGTATTTTATTAAAGCCTTTTTCTCCAAGATGTGTTAAAAAAAAAAAAATTAAAAAAAAAGCCTTAGAAAAGGAGCTTGCTTGCACAATGTAATACCTTTTATTGTAATAGACCACATTGCCTAGAATCAGTGATATCACATTTAACACTTGAACATGACAAAATTATTAAAATCTGCTCAGCACCATACGATGTATTTAAAGTGTTGCCCTGGCTTATCATGTTGGTGAGTGGAAAAAGGGAACAATTGACCCATAACCACCATATTGACTGGTTGGTATCAAACATGTCAACCACTGCTAACAGATAAGTAACATATTTTGTGTGCAAGGGGCATTTACCTTTGGCGTGATCTAGACATTTCAAAACCCAAAAAATGAATTTTTAAAGGTCATTCAGGTGTTAGTAATTACTGAGACATGTTGTTAACTAAGTAACACCACTGCGGTCAGTCCAAGTGACTTCAATATTTCAAAAAATATACAGGAAGCAATTCACTTCCTACACATTTCCAGTACATGTCAAAGGTGTGTGTTTCCAAATAACATGCATCAGCAAATTTCCACGCCAGACACTTAGTAAGCATGAAATGAAAACTATATTAATCTACGAGATTATTGCGAGAAAATTAATATAGATGAAGTTGGAACAAGAGAAACTAGCAACTGTTTATTTTTTAAGAGAGAAAAAATAATTAGTGATTATTTTAATTATTTTTTACCTTCGGTTAAAAATAAAGAGATCATTATCCAATGCTTTGATCAGATGCCAAGGAAACAAAAATGATTTTGAATCCAAACTTTCAGACTTTCTGTCAACATCTCTTTTCATCAAGAGCTTATCCATGATCCAACTCAAGAGACTATTGTTTTTCTTATTAGCATTGCATGTTGGATATAGTGTCTCCACAACCCTCCTCTCCATATCAGCTCTCCTGATGGCATGGTTCTTCAGTGACAGGGATGAACAAACACAACAATGTGTTAAATGCAGTACCGAATACAGACAGATATTACTTCTTAAAATGAACATAAAAAGGACAAACTGGAAACACTATAAGTAACTGTTCTCCAAAGACACAAGATTAGCACCCCTTTGTTTTTTATTTCAGGGAAATACAATATATGAAAAGCAGAAATACTTGCATTAAACATTGTGAATAACCAGTGCAAAAAGTTATTCATGCTTGGTTTATAACAATTATAACAAAGAAAAAAAATTATACTTTACTGTGTGGTTGTGAAGTTAACATTATACAAAAGTAGTTAAAGGAAAATGGGGGGGAAATTGGAAATCAAGCATATAAGAAACTACTATGATGACGCTTATGTAAAAAGATAAGACGGCAAATGATTAGTACTTGTAAATTATTTTTGCAGCTCAGTTTTGTTATTACTTCTAGCTGAAAGTAAAAACAAAAAAGGAAAGGAAGAAAACTCAACTCAACTCAATAAAGCCATGGTTATACAAAAACTATTTAGTATCGGCTTCGCCATTCCATAATGAAGAGAAGATAGGAAATGATATGTTAAATGATTTCGGGTCTTAAATTAATAAGTGAAATGGCTTCACCACTAGTTGCCTAGCTTTCCCACTTGGGCCCTCCAAAACAGTAGCCTTTGATTCAGCACTGAAACACATTGAGCTGATATTGTATATGATTCCAGTTACGCAGAGATCAACTAATCAGATTTAGTCATATATATCAAATGCATATGAGCTTTTGTAGCTTGATATATGGCAGCAAAAAAATCAAGAATTATCTAAAAATAATCATTAATGATTCTCATCTTCAAAAGAGGAGCATGATTACATCCACCAAACAAAGAAATGAACCATGTTTAGAAGTCCTTTTGATATCACTAAACATTCTTATCAACTGAGTTTTAATATGTCACTCTGTTAGGCAGGAAGAATATAAAAGAAGAAAAACTAGTGTACTAAAACACAATGTTGGAAAGTATACAAGTAGTTCATGTAATGAACAAAAACATAGTTGTCAAATCGAGATATGGATAGTGTATCATTTTTTTCTTTTTTTCCAAACAGTGTATCGTATTTGGATCATATCATGTATTGTAAGATCTAAAAATATCTTTAATAACAGGTAAAAACAAGTATATTTATAAATTAAAAAAATTGCAAATACTTTGTGAGAACAAAACTTTGAAGAAAGCACACATAATATAACGTGAAAGAAAGTTAGGTTAACGTATGCATGCATCAATGCTTAATACATATAGGATGAAGAGTAAAGATAAAAGCAAATGTAACAAAAGATAAGACACTTCAAATCATTATTCTAATCTATGATTCTTTTGAAATCAAAGATTTAAAGACTGCTACAAAATGAAAGTAACAGTACAAGCAGTTAGAAAATCTTTCCTTCAAAATGTTTCTCAATCTTCATCCTTAATAATTGTGTAATAGGGATGTAAACGGTTCACAGCGAATGATTTTTGGACTGAAACTGACCGAAGTAGCATAAAGACCACAGTTGTCAGTTTGATGATTGTTGGTTGGTTAGGTTCAGTTTTTGTCAGGGAGATGTCCTTTACAAAAAGTCCTTCAAGGGGGTATGTTCGGATACAAACCACACAACTAACAAAATCCAAACATTATACCCCATGAACTAATGACAACCAAATACTGTATGCTGTTACTGATTTGATAACTAGTGAAGTAAATTTTAGATACTTTAACAAGAAGCACATAAAAACAGAAATCAAATAATCAAAGTTACCTTAAAAAAAAATCAAAGAATCAACAAAGCATATATAACCAAAAAAAAAGGCAAACTTCTCTTCAACCCCTTGTGGTTTTGGGCCATGTGCAGTTTACCCCCTAACGTTAGAAAATGACCACATAACCCCCACATGATTTATGGACCAAAGTGCACTGTCCACTTTTCCATCCAAGTTAACTGACTGTGAAGTTCAAACACCCATGAAGAGAGTAAGCTACATTTTAAGACCAAAATACCCCTTGGACATCTTTAAATTCGCAAAGGCATGCCATGCTTCTTCCTCCTCTCTCTACTATTTCTCTTTCTATTCCTTAACTTCAACCCACTGTACCACACTAACTTCCTCTGCCCTCACCAATCTTCCCTCTCCGTGCCACCACGTACCTCCTTTCCCTTCTATTCACATGACTATACCTACATCCCGCTCTACAACTCCACGGCCACTTCAAGTTAATAAGAAAAACAATAAAGCTTGGAAGAAAAATGCTGGGTTTGCATTTGTCAAAATTTTTTGAAGCTGAAAATTAATGTCCACGGACCAGTGGGATATATCTTTAGAAGGGTCCTTAGGTTCTGTATATATATTTACATTGTATATGCATATATGAATGAAATTTGGGTCGTTGAGTAGTGATGGAATGGAGAAAGAGTCTTCTAGGGTGAAAAAGTATATATTTACATTTTGAGTTATCACATAGTCAATTTCAATTAATGGATAAGCAAATTATACCGTATATAATTTGATGCCCAATGACAGAACCTTTTTTATTTTTTGAGGAATAGTGTCAGACCTTAGCTTACTGTGAATGATTTGAGGAAGGAAAATGTTTGGTGGCCCGAATTTTTGTGGCTCAAATGTGTCAAAACGACGTCGGTTTATACTCAAAACAACGTCGTTTTGCGTGTTTCGAGCCATTCGAGCCATGATTTTTCGGGCCACCTAACATTGTTGTTTGAGGAATTTAGTATTTGGATTTTGAATTGATTTGTAGAAAATTGAATGATTGGATAATATATATGCATTTACAGATTATATATAAATATGCATTTACTGTTGATGAGTGGTGAGAATGAGTGACTGATTTTTTGGTGTGGAGATGTGTGTGCTGCTTGGATTTCTTGTACAAGTTGGAATGACATTTGTTAGAGTTGGTAGCATGGAAGGAAGAAGATAGAAAATAGGTGTGTGTGTGTGTGTGTGTGTATATGTATATTTGCAGATTTAATTCAAAAGAGAGAAGAGGAAGAAGACGGGGGCATAAAGGTCAATTTACACATTCTGTTAACAGAAGTTAGCATGCATTTTGGTCCCATGTGGAAGTTATGTAGTCATTTCTAAACGTTAGGGGAGTAAACCACACATAGCCCAAACCACAAGAGGCTAAAGTGAAGTTTGTCCCTAAAAAAAATGCAGAGAAAGAAACAATGAAGAAAATGAGAGGATATAACAAAGCATAAAAACAAAAATCCGAGGGAACTGCTGCGAGAGCAGCTTCTGTCTCGAAAGCCATAGAAAGTTGCAGATGGAGATGAGGCAAGATGAGAGAGCTAGAGAGGTGAGATTAGAGAAAGCCAAAGAGGTGAGCCCAGAGAGAGCCATAGAGGTGAGACATCGTTGTTGCTCATCAGATTAAAACAAAGCTGACTGTTAGAATGACAGGCAACAATGGTGGCTAAGAGAATACGGGAATCAATTGAGAGACAATGAAAATTGATGGTTTGAGTTTTGAGTCAAATGGAACAGTTGAGATGAAATCAACAATAAATGAATGGATGACTAGGATTTAATGAGATTATGAGACTATTTCGGTTCTACCGGTCTTTAAATTTTACCAAAACTAAAAACCTATGAAGCACTGAAACTTCAAAACAAGCATCATAGCGATGTCAAACACGAACATGTACAGGACAGACCACATAGCGTGTCCCTTTAATTTGATTAATTTGTTTTCGAGGGGCATGTTGGAGACACACCAACTAGTTTTTTTTCCCCCTCTTCTTTAGTGCTTTTTATGGATATTGAATGTTGAATGTTTATTACTTTTGCTTAGATTTAAATAATTAATAGATTATCCAAAAAAGGCATAAACGATAAGAGGTAACTTAAAGAGTGAGGTTTTTTTATATTTAACAAGTGTTAATTTTGATTGTCTGTGGATGCAATATTAATCTGCATAGCAAATAAAAATATACATAAAAAAAATTATTATCATGTCTCCATTTTTATTTTTATTTTGAAATCGTTGTGTCCCGTATCCTTGTTCAAGTTAGCAACTGTGTCCATATTAATGCTTCTAAGTAGAAAACCGAACAAGAAAATTTATTTTAACGAAACTAAACTGAACCAATCGGTCTGGGGATAAAAATCGAAAAAAAGTAGGCCTGGTTGGTCAGCTCAATGTATTTAGCAAAACTTTCACCGCTACTGCATAATATGTTTCTTGTATTGTCCTAACATACCATTTAGGCTTTGATATTTGATTTACAGCTTCTCAATTCTCAAATATTTTGCCTATAATAAAAAAACTTTAAGTTCTTCCCAATGTAAATGGCCTTATTAGTGGGGTGGGAACTTACCAGGGAAGAAGATATCTGTGCAAAAAAACTTCTATTTGGAAAAAGTAATGTCTTTGTTGTGCACAACCAAGTATTTTCACCTAAGAAGTATGGACATGGACACCCAAACATGAAAATTTTCAAAAAATGCAAGACACAACACGTGAGGCACATGTGCACAATATATAATTTTACATATTCATTATATGTCATATATAAGAATAATTAATTATTATATCACATATATGAATATTTAAGTCAAACATAACAATTTTCAAAGTGTAAAGAAGAAGAACAAGTATAAATTTATATTGTTTTCGTTTTCTCGTTGGATTTCAAGTTATTTTATTCAAACTTGTAATATATTTCATGTGTGTCCAAGTGTTAGGAAGTGTCCAATGAGTGTCGTGTCAATGTCAAACACAACACGTTGCCTTCTTAGAAGTGTCTATGCTACTTCCGTTTTCAAAATTTTACGACTAAGTTGCCTGCCCAAGTGCACCAAGTATTATTGGTCTCTTCAAGTCAACCAGAGGTTATTCAGTGTAACCAAACACGTCCCCAAAAAGGCTTACATATGGTAATCTAGATGCCCATGGGTTAGGTACAGGTGGCAATAACATGCAACAAACAAGTGGTAGGTTGTTGAGTGCCTACATAGGAAAAAAAAAAATTGGATCAGCATTATTAGTGGCTTTTGGAACAAAAGTGCACCATGTTCTGAAATTGTTTTTGTAAACTGAAATCAATAGATTTGACCATTATCTCGTAACCTCTGCTTGCAAGCTTGCTTGTTCCTTCAATGCAGAACTCTCTGGTAACCTAGGATCAAATGGTGGAATGAGCAAAAGCTAAGTTGGAATTTCATTCCCACAGCCACCAATGGAAATCTTACATTCTTGGACTACTAAAGAAAAAAAGTAAAGGTGGGCCTGCAGGATTTAGAATCCAATAATTCTCTAGGATCAATTTCTGACTCCTCCAAACCCACGAATGGCATCAACACAGGAATCTCATTACTAATAACGGGTCTGTTGGCATACAAGATAACCATTCCTTATGTTCCATTCCTACCAGTATCGTCCAAACATGATCTAAAGGATGCATTAAAATACTGGTAACTAAATACTCTAATATTAGGAACTGAAAACACTTCTATTATTGATCCATATACTAGGGACATACCTCTGAGTCCACAAAATATAGGCAATCCTCAACTACATGATAGAAAGAAGCTGCAGGGCACATTAACTTGACAGATTCAAACTCTCCATCCTCAAAGCCTGGGGAAGATCCAATCTGCAGCAATATAGTTCTGAATAAATGCGTTTTGATTCCCATCTACTCTTATTTTTTATTTTGAACTAATAAACTTTAAAACTTGCATTCAATTTCAACTGAAACAATACTCTCAAACATACACAGTCTAAAATTTTTCCATTGTCATCAAATATGATAATCCGATGGTGATTGATGTCAGAGAGGAACAAGCGGTTGCCCCTTTCATCAACAGAGATGCAACCTGCAATAAGATGTTTGATGTTGGATTATATATTATTTGACCACATAAAACTGATGATTAATACAATAAAGAAACTAGAAAGCTGGTAAACGTATAAGTTTCCCAAAAAAATAAAAAATAAAATAAAAAAACAACGCCCAATTAGTACGCATTAATGTATGTTTGGGAGGGAAAAATTGAATACACACCTAACCTTTGGCATAGTGCACAAAGTGGTTGCCCCGAGACTTGAATCCATAACCCAAGATTATTAGGCCAAGGTTTTACTGTTTTTCCAAAAAATATTTTTTTTAAATTATTAAAAAATAATAATAAAAAAACCTTAATAAGACAACCATTCTAACTCAAATTGATAGAAATTCATGCTTTTTAATGGCATAAGATTGCCAATGATTCAACCTCAATTTTGGAATATGTTTTTATTAATTTGATACTCCATGCAGGAGAACTTGGAGCAGCAGATAATAGTAGCATTCATACTGTATGGCTATAAATAAAGCAGCATATGCATTTTTCATATCTCGCCACAGAGAGAGGGCAGCCAGCCTAGCAAGGGAGTAATCCAGCTGATGCAATACTAGCCTTAGTTTTTTAGTTTCCAGCTTAAGGATCTTTATTTTACAAAGGCTTACAAATATCTGAATTTCTTAGTATAATCTTGGTGGATATTTTCTATGAGGATTTCTTTGAAAGCCCATAACATATTAAATTTAAGACAATTTCTATGAGGATTTCTTTGAAAGCCCATAATATATTAAATTTATTTAAGTTAATGGTCACCGCAATTCATTTAAGTTAATTACCCCTCCTCAACTTTTGGGATTATATTTTTGGGAAAATTAGTCTACCATCCCTCTCTAATTTTTAGTAATGGAATAGGTCCACAATATTTTCTTTTGTAGTCTAAGGTCCCTCACCCCCATACCCTTATATCACACGTACACTCTCATTCTCACTTTACTCTCCTCTGTCTCTGCTCTCTTCTCTCTCTCTTCCTCTCTCTCTAGGGTTTTGATTGGCGCAAGAAAGAAGAGGAAGACAATGAGGGCGATGATTGCTCCGATGAAGATTCCGATCACTACCCATAATTGGAGGACAAATATCAAGATCGGCTTTGAGAGCTGGCTGTTCACAACACTGCGTTTATTTAAGGAAATCAAACGCGACCTTCAAGTGCTGGATTTTTTCGGCAGTAAGATCAACAGTGGCCTCTGCATCTTCCAGTAAGAGGTTCAAGTCTAGCGCCGGCAAAGGAATCAGAACAAAGGTGACGAGTGATGATAATTCAGGAGGGAGCTGAGGGTCTGGATTTTTCTTGGGGTTGAAACGTAGAAGACACGAATACCGGCTTTGGCTAAGACGAGGGAGAGCTCGTAAAATGGCATCATGTGGCCAAATGCAACAAACGGAACAAGGATGTCGTGAGTCTCTGTCTCTATTTTTTCCGGCGAAGAGAGTTTTATTTTTTGACGTTGTGAAAGTTTTGACTAGTAAAAGAGAAACAGAGCAACAATACTAGTAAAAAATCATTAGATATAGGCACAGCATCCGGGAATGGAAAGTTGTGTTGCATAACCTCCATTTAAATATTGGCACAGCAACTGCAAATGATTGTATTCATTTCACTATGTTGCGTGTTCATAACACTCAATTTGTTCATACGAGTTTAGATGCACAAATTTTCCTTTGAGCTATTGAATTCCTCTCTCTTTTATTAGGAAAATTTCTCTGGTTTAAAATTACAAATTCTCTGATTTGGTTAAAATTTCTCAAGTTTGAATCCAGAGAAATTCTTTTATCGCTCAATTTGTCTACATCTTCAAGCTCATGCAAGTGAGTTTTTCTATATACAAACATATATTCCTAATTTTTTGTCCTAACGTTGCACGTGTAGATGTAGTTGTTATTGATAATAATTCTTTTTTTTTTTTTTTGCTTTTAGATCATTGTAATGGCATTGGTTACAATACTCTATTGACATGCCACAGGTAACAAAATCTAAAGTATTAAACAATTGATATATTGGTGTTTGTTTGGATGTTAGTAAACTACTTGTCTTAAAGATATGTAAACAAGAACACAATAATAATTGATGAAATATGACCTAGAAGAAATGAAAGAGCAGGGTGCAGTTGAAGATAGGCTAATGCTTCTGAAGGGTATTAGTGGAGCTTTTAGGCCAGGTGTGCTCACAGCCCTAATGGTCATCAGTGGTGCTGGTAAAATTACTCTGATGGATGCTCTGGAAGGTAGGAAAACTAGAGGATATGTTGAAGGTAAAATTACAATTTCCGGCTATCCAAAGAAGCCAGAAACATTAGCTCGGATTTTGGTTACCGTGAACAAAATGACATCCATTCTTTGGGTTGGTTAAAATCATACAAGGATGAACATTTCTTTTGGGTATGTTGTTTCAATTAGCTTGGAAATGAAAAACATATTTGAAGCATTTCGGAAATAGAAGGGAAATGAGAAAATAAATTTTATCTTCTCCTTTCAATCTATCCTTTTCTTCTTTTCTTGTTTGCCATTATACTCGATTTTCTCTGGTTTAAAAATGTGAACAAACACAAAGAAATTTAAAATTTCTTTGGTTTGATTAAAATTTCTCTGGTTTGGTTAAAACAATTTCTCTGGTTTAAAATCGTTGTGCTAAAATTTCTCTGATTTGGTTAAAACAATTTTCTCTGACTTAAAATTATGAACAAACACAAAGAAATTTGTGAACAAAGCCATAGAAATTCTCTGTGAACAGAGCCAGAGAAATTTCAATTCTCTGTGAGCAAAGCTAGAGAAATTTCAATTTTCTCTAGTTTGAACCCAGAGATTCTTTGAGAAGTCCATAATTTCTCTGGGAAGTCCAGAGAAATGGGATCGAAATTTCTCTAGATCGATGTTCAGGGACCTTAGACATTATAAAAATATTGGATGTCCTTTATGCTATAAAATCTTAATGCTAGGGATCCTAAAAAAAAATCCCCTATAGTTTTAGCTTAGGTTTTGAAAATATTTTCAATTTTTTCCTTCTAAAATTATGTGTATACCTTTTAAATTTTTCTTATTCTTCTTTTGACAAACTCAACCCACTATTGATTAGACTATTAAAAAAGATTGGCTCCTTATTTAATTCACAAATAAATTTAATAAATTATTTTCTTTTATTGTTTGTATTTAATTGACATTTTTTTCTTCCATTTCATATTGCTTGAGAGTTCTATAGATTTTCATATTACGATGATTTTTTTATAGTTATAGGTATGATATTGGAGTAGTTTTTGAAATATTGACAATTGTTTTTCTTTGCTTTTCTTTTTTAACCAAACTAAACTGTGTTCCAAACTGATCTGACCCCTCCACCAATGCTTCCAATAATCACTCTCTTTTCCTGCTCTAATAAACCAAGCCAAAGCAAGGCAGAGTAAATTTGAGGCAATCACCTATGACCCACCAAACAAAAAAGATAGAGAAGACAAGACTCTAGAGCATGTAGATCCCATGCTACCTAAGAAGGAAGATATGAATGATGCACCACTGTATGGCATTGCTACATATAGTAAACCAATTAAAAATGTTTATTTCTATTAATATTTTCTTTTTTTATCAGCAACAAAAGAAGAAAAATTAAATATAAAGGAGTACATAATGAGGACTAGGAGTCCTGTCAAAATGACAATCAACAAAACAAGAAGCAGTCAAACTGGAAAACATGAACTTTACATGACAAATAGCTCTCCAATCACTAGAAATCAAAAATCGCAGAATCCCTTTAAATGCTAGCAAAACGTAGGCCCAAATCGCTGAATCCCTTTAATCACTAGAAATGTTTGTTTCTATTAATCAGATCCACCACCAGGCCTTTGATCCCCTACCACCATCCAAGCAATGAATACACCATATTTGTTGGAACCAAAGGTGACATATCAGACAGCTGATTATATTATGATACATGACAGTTTGTTTATTTTACTCTGGATTGTTACTAAAACGTGGAACCCATGGAATTCCTCATCCCCTAATTAACTCAAATAATGCAACCCCAACATTACACGAAAATGAACAAAAGGTATATGGTGACAACCTCGAGGAACTCAAGATTACTATGATGACATTAAAAAAATAGATGAAATATAGGCAAACCATGCCATATCAAACCTATACCTGGGAAGAAAAGTAGTAAGTTGCGCAAGGAAGCACAAACAGGTGGTTCCTTAATGCCTTCAATTTGCTTCACCCAACTGCTTTTCATGTTGCTGACTATACTACTAGTCTCACTGTGGTGCACTAACTCCTTGACAGCTGCAAATATGACATCATACAAAAGTAATAATTATTCAGATAAACAATATAAGAGTAAATGCCTGAATATTTTACAAGACAAACCAACATGTTTGTTTTTTTTTTTTAGGAGAGAGATTATGAAGACCAATTCCAGCACCCAAGGTAAGTACTTCAGTCTGGGGATTCAATTCTTACCTGGAAAGATGGTACAGCTGCGCCTAGGTTTCATGGCCATTCAAATGTGTTAACAGTCTATAGTGTATTTTAAGCTTCATTTTGAATGTGGAACAATTCACAGGTTTGTAGGAATTAGTCTAATTTCAGCTTTCATTTTTATAATTTTGGCTTCAATAACATCAATGGATAGAGATATAAATTTGAATTAGTAATAGGTACTGTGTTCTATTGGGTGCCGTTCCTTCACTATTGTTGATGGTTTCAAACGACTCCTCAGGGGCTATGCATGAAAGTAAGAATCATTACAAAGTCAAAAAAGCATTTAGGGCTCGTTTGGCAACATCACATTTTAACCTAAAAGTCAAAAAGTCATTAAAAAGGCCAAAAATCCAACAAATTATATAAAAAAAAGTCACAAATTCCCTTTTCTCTCTACTTTTTGCACATCTTTTCGTAAAAAAATCAAAAAGTCATCACAAACATACTAATTTTTTTAATCTCATATTTTAACCAAAAAACCAAAAAGTTACTAAAATAGCCTCTTCCAAACGAGGCCTTAGTTTTCAAAGATGATGAAATTCGATTTAAGAATATGCAGTTGTACACTTTTCTAAAGAGGGTGTCCTTATTTTTGTCACAAAAGGAAAGGTCAAACCCAAGTGCACAAGGCTCCTACTTAGAGCAAGATTTGGGAGAGGTTTTAGGTAGGCAGCCTTACCCTCACTTGTTTGCAGAAGGGCTGGCTCCCGTGACTCAAACCCACACCACAACATCGTGAAAGATGAACAGTTGCCATCGTTCTAGCAAAAGGCATAGTATAAATAGGAACAGAAAATAAATGTCCAAAATCTATGATGATCCAACAAAGGGTTATTCATATAACTAGGAACAAAAAAAAAATGAGGACCAATCATTATTCTTTTTGGGTAGAGGCTTTAAAATCAGCTGTTGTTTATCAAATCCTAGGGCAATCAGCACATACTGCATCATTTTTACTGATGAATTTATCTCTCCATACCTTGTTAATTCTCCAATCTAATTCTCGTTCAATTCTCTTAGTTGGTAACAAAGAACAAAAAAAACAAAAAAAAGGCACCCTTTTATGTTAATGTAGAAAGCGCAAATAGTTCAACTATTCAGCAAGAACACCATTCATGGTTGTATTGTTGCAAAGAGAACTTCATAGACATAAAAAAGAAAAAGAAAAAGAAAAATACCGTTGTCAATCATTCCAAGATCCACATCCCTCTCATAGTAAAGGAAAGAACTCTTAAAACCTTTACATAAAATGAAACATGTCCCATCTGTCATCTAAATACATCAAAACAAAATTGATCAAAATACTACTAACTGAGTAAACTACCAACATTGTTTTAATTCAGAAAAGTTCAGGAACGCTCTAGATACATAGCAATCAAGCAAACAGAAATAAAGAATACAAGCAACTCAAGAGCTCACTTAACAAAATTGACATTAATTCTTAGTTACAATATTCATAGTTCAATATACCAGACATATACCAAAAACTAACAAATATAAAGGGAAATGAATATGTCACGCACCAAAATATGGTGCCACACACTTCTCTCACATGCACGTAAAAAGATGTGAGAGAGAAGTTTATGGCATTGACAGCATCCAAATATAAATATATATATATATATGCATATGTTCATGTATTCATATAGTGATAAGTCCAACAAATATCTTTGAACAATTGTAATGTGTTATGCTCTAAATTTGAAAACATAGGTCATCCAAATCTGCCATCTTACTGGGACCAATAACGGATTGCCACATAGGTCCATAATACTTCATAGTAAGATCCACAATTCTGCAAGCCCATGCCCACGACAGAACATTCACCTCAGTGAGTCAGAAGCTGGTAGTGTCCTAAAGGCAAATAGCTAGACAAAATAGACACACATACAACAGATGGGTGCTTGTCATGAAGGCAATGCCTACTCTAAGGGATAATCACTGTTCAAAGGGCAGATACTTGGGATGAAGTGGATGCTTGCCGCCCCAAGGGCACAAAATCAAGTGGCACACCTTCTAAAGGTCACCACACCCGAAGGAACCTCAAAGTTGACAAGCATCCTAACTTTAGTAGCAGAAAACTCCTACTTGGGTGACGTTTCTTACTCAGAAACACAATTCCGCGCTCCCAAGTAAGCAACTTGTAAGAACTCGCTCCCAACTGAGATAGAACCTCTCAAACATAGAAACCTCAAATAAACAAAAGAAAAACAACTCAAACTTATTCTAGTAATTTCTATTTACATAATATTTATTGATACTTAATAAAGACAACTTGTAGTTGACATTAATCTCCAATAATAATTCATATATTAATACATATATTACAACTAAGCAAAAAAAATTTAATTGCTACTATATATTATATATTTAACATGTAAAATATATACACACTCCAATAGGAGCTTACTTCTAACTTTAGAAACTTCTATATGCAACTAAGACCCTAACACCTAACCCAACACTTGCATGGACACAAAGCCAAATAACCTTATGCTAATCAATAATTAGTAAAAGCGCCACTGGCAATGCATCACCTATTTGTAAAAATATTAAGGGTTAATTACACTAAGACCCCCTCAACTTTTAGTGAATATCACTTTAGCCCCTTCATCTATGAATTTGTACATGTCGACCCCCTCAACTACGAAAACCGTACAAATACTCCCCTTTTGAAGGTGGTCTGGAGGGTGCTTACAGGCGGTGAAAGTGATACATTTTTATAGCTAAGGGGGTCAAAATGTACCGTTTCATAGATGAGGGGCTAATAGTTGAGAGGGTATTAGTGTAAATAACCCAAATATTAAAATAAATTATCTTTGTTTACAATTTGATAGCTAAATTTACCCTTAATTATCCTAATCTATATAACAAAACAAGGGTGCTTTTGAATAGGGGATAGGACATTTGTCTATGTGTCAAAATGTGGATCATCGGATTGATTATCCTAATACATATACAAAGCATAACAATATTTGATAGCCAAATATTAAAATCACAATGTCATATCTCAAAAAAGATGTCTCAAGCATCAAAAGAAAGATTAACATATTGTTCTGCAAATTGTTGATACTTGATGCTAATACATAAGGGGGGCTAAAATGGGTATGTGGTCAAAACTCAGCCTATTAACCTTGAGGTAGTAGTTGTAGGTTCAAACCTGAGGGCAGCCACTTTTATGCCAATTATGCCAAAGGTTTTGTACAATGAGAACTAAATTGGCATGGTCTCATGCAGTAAAGTTTCAGTTTTCTGCTTTTATTGTCATTTTTTGGGAATTGGAAACAAAAACTTTTTTGGTATACTATTTTTCTTTTCCAAAAAATGAAACTGGTTCCAAATTTTTCAAAATTTTCGGTAAAATAAGTGTTTCTACTTGTTTGCGAAACAAGTTCTCACTCTCTTCTCCCTCCCCCACCACCTCCAGCCACTACCCACAACTGTCACCACCAGCAGCCAGCCACTGTAGACTCTCCGGTGAGCTCAAGGACACCGCTTGCCACTACCTCCAACAACACACCAAACATATTTCTTCATTTTTGTTTTCAAAACTTTTTGTGTACACCAAACAAAACAAAAACCAAAAAACAATAAACTAATAATGTCATCAAACTGCACCTTGTACTAATACAAAGAGGTGGATGTAACCAATTCAAAGCATGAGGGGACCATTACTGCTCAGATGTAAATAGTTTGACCAGCATAATAAATAAAGAATAAACATACTGAATTGTCATTTTCAGGACTCCATGTTTCATGCATTAATACATTGTTACTTATTTATGAATAGAAGATAAGAACTAAAGGTTTCCATATCAATTACAAATACTTCAGGTAACATCAACACAACATAATGGAGTACTGCATGATGTGAATTCATTCATAATTATCTAATTTCAAGTACGTAAGCCAACCACATATATCTCACCTCTTTAAAATTCTTGTTAGACAATAAAATAGGAAATGTAATATAGTCTTTCATGATTATTTGAATGAGGCAAGTACGAACAGCATCAGATAAAATCAAACTGCTGGACTGAAAACCCATAACATGTAGTGTAGGATACCTACAACGGAAGAAAGAAATGAAAAACAGAGTCACACAATTATCCACCTCTTTATAAGATATTAAAATCATCCAGATCTAAAAAGTTAATAGCAACCTGCATACAGCATTCCTCTACCTCTGCTGTAATGATTTTACTTTCTCAGACATAACAACACGACTGCTTCCAGGTATTAAAGGCTCCTCAAGGAATGCACCAACAAGAACTAAGAAGACTCCATTTCTCCTACAAAAATGCTTGCTATCCTCAACTTTATTCAACCAACAATGATAAGGGCCTGTTCATTCATTTCAAACTTTTACATGGGCAGGGGTGGAAGGCACACAACTAATCACAATTTTATCTCAATGCATATCACCATCACATTCCATGCTGTGGAAACAAAAAAAACTCCTTTCCCTTTCAGTGAATAAATCAAGAAACAAACAAACAACACATCCATAGTGACTTTGATCAAAAAAGTATGCAGATGTTACAAAGTTCTCACATAAACCATCATTAACGTGAAGACTATCAATTATGCCATTGATCTAATGCTCCAACTACCCATTCAAGTGTAGAAAAATTCAGTTATTTGGGGCAACAGATTATAAATAGTACGTTGAACAGTTGATGAGTGCAAGGTTGACTCCTAATATCAACTTATAGAACTCCAGGGATCAGTGCAGCAACTTGAATAAAAATAAGACATGAGGGAACTCTGAGGTCAGAAAATTCCATCTTCCTTTTTGTGCAAGACTGTTTGAGGCTGGGAAGGGGTCAATTCCTAGAAAAAAAGTAACGTGGAAAATGTCAGTGCCCTTCAGGCATCAAGATTGCTTTCCTTCCAGGATGGAGGTGGATCAACTTGTACACGCCTGCTTGAATTTAATCTTTCACAAACATAAAAGTCATCTACACATAAATTATTCTGGAAAAGGATCTTACACAAATTAATTCCCTTGAGTTAAAACAATGTCTGTACAGCAAGAATAGAAATATAATTATATATCCCTTCATATCATCGTTTGGGTGTGTACAAGAAATGGAAAGTCATTCACGGTCATCTTTCCAAGGAAGCATGAGATTGCCACACAAAGTAAGACTCTCGTTCCCAAACCCCCATAGTTTACATCCCAGGATTACTTAAATATAAAAAAGAAAGGTGGACCCACAATATTTATTATATTATCATTTTTCAACATAGGATTCCTGACTAATCCAAAAGCTACACTGGCATTAACACAAGAATCTTATTACTAATAATGGGAACTCTGGTAATGGGATTCTCGTTCCTAATCTTTGATTCCTTCCATCCAAAGATGACCCAAGGATCTTATGAAAGTAATAGTCCACAATGTTAATTCTTCCAACAGATAAATATATGAACATACATTTTCAATGCAACAAGAGGACTTGACCCCTGAACTTAAAGGTTAAAAGGCCAACCAAATACCAATTGGTTACTAGGCTGGTGCCACATGCACGCCTGTTGTTTAACTGGATAGTAGACAAAACTGACTATACCAAAGAAATGAATCAATTTACCTTCAAGATCATTAAAAGTAGATTCAATGAAGGACAAGAAATCAACTTCAGGAAGAGACTCAGGTGATGTTACTGAAACAGTTGACAACCTGAAAGAGACTGTCTTGGTTAAGTTAGAACTGCTATAAAGTTCTGAAACATATATGCTGTGTTTGGTTGGCGGATTTACTTAGAGAAATGGAAAAGGAAAGGGAAATGCAATCCCACTTTTTGTTTGGCTATAATAGGAGAAAAGAAAGTGAGAGAGACATGAATTAAAAAATGAGAGTGTGAGAAAGAGGATTTCTTTTCTTTCTCCATTTCCCAACTAAACCAAACATAGTTTGGAATTCGAATCCTTTCATTTTTTCTCCTTTTCTTTCTATTTCCCTTTCCTTTTTCCATTTCCCTCATCAAATCCTCTAACCAAACACAGCCATAGGGGCCACAAATTCAAACTAGTAATATGTGCACATTCAAATCTCGAGAGCTGAAACCAAAAAACACATTCCCACTTGCTAATATGAATGAAATTCGTCATGTATATTCAGTCAACAGTAGTTATAGTCCAACGATGGAGAATATTGCACACCACAACTATGACTAGCAGTCTAGCCATTGAGTGTTGCACCATTTTATGCAAAGCATGAAAAATACAAATGCAGAAGAAAACATTGGATGTAGAATCAAAATCAAAACTTTAAATACAGTAAAGAATCGAGATTTATTACCTTTGAACACAACCACCTTTGTCGGCAAAATTTCTCATGAAGTTTGGCAATACAAGAGTCAAAGGATTTGATTGCCAAGCAATTAAGCCGATATCTTGTCTACATTGTAGATATCGATTACCTGAAGAAAAAAAATAAAAATAAACTACTTGCTAATTGTTCAAACTATTGCCACAGTCATCATTTCATTATTTTAAATATTTGCTTTTGAAAACATTGAAAATAAAAATCACATGAATCAGTAAATGGGGGTGTTTGGCGGAGATAATTTTAAGCTAAAAGTTTATAATCAAAAAGTAGAAGCTAAAAATACCTCTAATCAAAAAAAGGAGTTGTTTGGGATAATCTAAATAAGTGCAGTTTTTGACTTTTTACAAAAAGGTGTGCAAAAAAGTAGAAAGTTATAGATAAGTTATTTCTGCCTAATAAGCTGTAAACAGAAACTACACCACACAATCTAATACAAACTCTCATATTAAAATAAGCTATAAGCTGCATCCATAATCTCCACCAAACACCCCCAATGAAATTGAACAACAGACACAAAAGAATATATATATATACATTATCCAGATAAAAATGAAACGTTAAAACCGCTATTCTTTGTAATTCCATAAACTTGCCAATAAAGAGCATGAAAAAATAGACAAATAAAATAATATATATATCCAAGAAAACTATGACCTCCCTCCAGTAAGCTATCCTATTTTTTTGATTCAATTTAGTCAAGTTCCATTTCCTCTGTTTGGTTTTAAAACAACTTCGGGTTACAGCAGAAACCAAATGGAGATTTAGAGGTTTTGGAAATGGAAGTAAATTGAACATGAATATCAGACTTGAGTCATCTAAAAGAAGAAAAACATTCGAATGAGTGAGTGGAACTCTAGTCTAGTATAGTGTGGCAATTTTTTACCTGAGTAAATGTGGGGCAAAATTCTTGAAATTTCTCTCAGTCGTCGAAACCAGAGAGCCATTTTCTAGGGGTGAGCATGGACCGGATTAGTCCAGATTGGGAGAAAACCAGGACCAATCCGTTATCTACGGTTCCTGAAAAATTAAAACCAATCCAATCCGTTTAAATTGTGGAACCAATCCGAACCAATCCGTTGAAACACGGATCGGATCGGTTTAGGACCACGGATTTAAATAATTAAATAACAAAAAAAATATAGACATTACATTTCCATTCCAATAGCAACATAGCTGCTGAAAACCTGTAAACAATATAATTAAGCAACATCCATTCCAATAGCAGCCTGTAAACAATATAAATAAACAACATCCATTCCAATAGCATTTCCATTCCAATAGCAACATAGCTGCTGAAAATCTGTAAACAATATTATATAAGTAAACATGACTTGAAATGAGATTGAAGGCACAACTACAAATTGAAGTTTGGAAGAACTCCATGAGTTGTCCACTAAAATTTCAAATACAGTATTTGTACATCTCTATTTTCTCTCATTCTTTTCTCTTTTCCACTCTTCTGGAGATGTGTTTCTTTTCCATATATTTCTCATAGTTAGAACACAAATCAACTTGAAATTTTTTGGCTGATTCTCAAAAACTGCAACACTACATTTCCATGAACAAAAATAAATCTGTCATGAACTAATTGGTCCAAAATTATGAATCTCATATTCAAAAACTGTATTGATCCCACCAAAATTTAAACATTCAAAAATTTTAAACCAATCAAAAAATATATTTTATTAACACACTTTGTAGATGTGTCTTTCATCTTTACCTAAAACCTCCATCAAACCAAACAGTGGCATAGGTGAGTCTCAATCAAAGAGTGCTAGCCTTACCATCACCACCAATGAACCACCAATCAAGGCAGATGTAGGGTAAGGTCACCCAAACACTGCCTCTACATGTACCCCATATCTTAATGAAGAAGTTCAGAAGTGTTCTTGTAGAGGCTCTCCCCTGGAACCCAAGCCCAATCTTAATGCCTCAACCTGCTTGAGATTGATTACAAACAAAAATAATAGCAGCAACCAACATAACAAGAGCATATAACTTTTTCCTTTCTTCCAATGTCGAGAAAATATGGAAAAAATGGAAAAACAAGAGCATATAACAAGAGCATATAACAACCCCTGTTCTATAATCTTTTTCCCCTCATTAATAAAAGATGGAAAAACCGAGAAAATATCTACATGAAATACAATCAGACTGATCAAACAAACAACACAAAACAGAGTTGAAATCAGAAAAAAAATAAAAATAAAAACAGAAAATAATCTGAGATGGATGATCTGGGAACAAAGGAACAAAAATAGTCACCGATCCGAGAGAGAGAGAGAGATGAGAGATGAGAACACCGAGAGAGAGAGAGAGAGCTAGCTCACCGACAGAGAAAGACGAGCAGCAGCACACCGATCTGATCTGAGATGGATGAGAGTGTGAGAGAACTCAGTCTGCAATGGGAAAGAGAAGAGAGAGAGACACCATCGATGTAGAGACCTGAGATGAGAGTGAGAGGCGTGAATGAGTGAGGCTGCAGCTTTTATATCAGATAAGAAATTATATGGTGTGGGAAGGTATATAGTATAAAAATATAGATTATTTTTAGATGGTCCGGATCGGTTCCAGTCCGGAACCGTGGGGTTTAATCCGGAACCAATTTGTGGCCTACGGATTTTGAAATTTTCAATCCGGAACCGAATCACGGATTCAAAAAACCAATTCAAATCTATCGAATTGGATTGAACCGGATCAAATTACGAATTTTACGGATTCCTTGCTCAGCCCTACCATTTTCTTCTCCGATTGAAATATGCCTCTTTTTTTTTTCTTTTTCTTTTTCTTTTTTTGTTTTGGCTCCGAGTTTTGTAGCGTATTTTTCTACTCGGGTGTTGTGTTAGAGTCGGCGGAATGAATTGGCGGCTAGGCCTAGGGCATAAAATGATTTTGCGGGTGGAATCCCATCGAATCCATTAATTTGGTCAATTTTATTTTTTATTTTTTTACTTGTTTTTAATTTAAATTATTTATTTATTTTCATTAAGCATAATTTTAAAAATATATATATATTTTAGTCATTAAATTTAAATATCCATTAAATATATAAAATATTATTTATCATTGAATTTAATGTTTAAAATATTTTTTTTTATCAATTTTACTTATTGAAAACAGATAAATAATTTATATTAAAAATAAACCAAAAGATTTTAAATTAATAAATTTAGAAACTCAATATTTATTTTGTTATGATAGTCAAAGTTGACTTTTTTTTATAATTTTCCCTTAAATTTATTAAGTAAAAAAGTTAATTAAATTTATTTGATAATTATAATTTTAAATTTTAAATAATTCTTAAAATGTAGTCAAAAAAAAATTCAAAATTTAAGTAGAAAACATTTTACTATGACCTATTTGATAACGTTTATATTTTCTGTTTATATTTACAAAAATTTTAAAAAATATAAACAAAAACTCGCTTGGTTTCTATTTTGGTTTTCAAAAAGTTATAAACAGTTTACAAAATTCACTAAATTTTGTAAACCCAAAAAAGTAAGTTTCATTTTTTAAATTTTTTTTTTCATTTCTTCTTCTTTCTTCCACGCTTTCCGACTACCACCCATTACTCTCCCGTCTCGATCTACCCCGTCCAGCCTCAATTTTATTTATTAAATATACTTTTATATATATAATATTTATATAATTTAATTTTTTTAATGTAATCAAATTTAAATATTAAAACATTATACTTAATATTCATTTTCACTTATTTATTTATCATATTATATCTTTTAACTCTCGTTAATTATAAATTATTATCTATAATATACTATATTACCTTTAATTTTTATTAATTTTTTATTTTAAAAACTACAAAATTAATGAGAGCTGTTTTTATTTTTAACTTATCCTCACCCCTGATATGATATGGGGTGGGGGCGAAGGATGACAAATCCGCTCTAAATCTGTCTCATTGCCATTCACGCTCATTGCTATCGGATACTATCACCAACAATGACCTTATTCGTTAACCACCTTTGGCCACCACATCCCTCAACCACTAACCATCTTTTATTGCCTCCAACTATCTCTTACTAGTAATAACCATCTTTGGCCTCCATTTTTTATTGAAAACCACTTTTAAATGCCACTTTAGGCGGTTGACCGACTATCATTTCTAACCATTGACAATCATTTTCAATCAACACTTCTCGTAGCTAACAGCCACCTCTAACCATTGTCAATTGTCTCTTACTAGTGGCAACCATTTTCAGCTATTATCTCCCGTTGCCATTAACCACTTCAGACCACCATCTCCTATCATCGACAATCACCTCCCGTAACCCCTTCATTTTCACTTGTTTTCAAAACAAATTTTTTAAATATTTATGTACCAAACATGTTTTTTACTAAAAATATAAACATGCTTAATATTATTTTTAAATAAAAACAATAAACTGTAAATTTTGTCAAACGGTACTTTAATGTTAATCAAATTTATTATTATTTATGCATAAGTATTGTCTTCACAAACCTCACCAACTCCGTCATCACCACCACCATTGCTACACCTCCACCCCTACCTCTTATCATTATCACCATCACCACCACCATTCCTATCACCGCTACCCAACATTATTACTATTATCATGTAAACACCTATCCACAACTAGGGTTGCAAATGAACCGAGCGGAGCCAAACTTTGTTGAGCTCAAGCTCGGCTCAATAAGGAACTAGGCTCGAACTCAGCTCGATAATTTTTTTTAATATTATTTAATATATAAATAATGTATTTATACTATTATTTATATATTTATATATTATTTAATATATACATAATATATTTATTATATAATTTAAATAAAGATAAACGAGCCGAGTTTATGCGAGCTCGAGTTTGGCTCATTTACTACATGAATCAAGCTGAGCCAAGTCCTTAACAAGCCAAGCCGAGCCGAGCCGAGCCGAGCCGAGCCGAGCCGAGCTTGTTCATGAATAGCTCGATTTATTTGAAACCCTATCCACAACCACTATCACCATATTGACTGTTAATGTCATTGTTACCACATGCACTATCATCATTTTATTACCACTACTACTATCACACCACTACCAAAATAGTTATTGTCACTACCACCATCTTTATCACTACCGTGCAGTGGCGGAGGGAGTGAAGGCCCGGGGGGGGGTCACGTGCCTCCCTTGGATTTTGAGATTTTTTTTTTATAAAAATTTTGCAAACATAAAAAAAATATTTTAAATAAAAAAAATTAAAAAAGTATTATTAAAGTGAAATGTCAATGACATTTTAAAAATTACGAGAACAATAATGGTTGTTTTAATTGAAAATGAAGAGACTACTATAAACTACATTGTCTATGAAATTTTTTTAATGTAATGATAATGTCATTATTATTGACATACAAGTATAAGTAATCTCGCTATAAAAATATGAAATTTATTGAATTATTAGTTACATTTAACATAAGAGGTTCACTCTATGTAGTATTTGTTGGTGATATCACATATCAATGATGACGTGGTATTACCATTATATTGAATTTTCAATCAAATTTTGTATAAAAAAATTATTATTATATAATTTATTTTAAGACTTATATCTATATTTTTTTTATATTGTCTATAATACACTAGTTACAAATAACATTATTTTTTTGATGTTTCTCGAAATCAATTGTAAAAACTTGTGTGAAATATTTTTGTAAAAAATGTTTGATATTGTAATTAATAAATGCCCCCTCTAATCTATTTTTTTAGCTCCGCCACTACTACCATGACTCTACCCAAGGGCAGAAACATAAATTTATACGGAATGGGCCAACGTATATATATACAAAAAATTAAGTTAGTTTTATACATTAGTAATTTAACATAATTTCTTATATTAGCATTGTAAAAGAAGTATCTTACGAGAAAACTAAATAAATTTAACAAATTCTTGCTTCAGTTTTTACAAGTTTTGAACTGTTGATTAGATTTTAGTATACAATAGGTTAACTACTATTTTAAGCAATTTTATTGATTGACACAATCTAATAAATAAAAAGTGAAAATTGTTAAAATATGGCTCTAAAATTTCCGCTCAATCACGTTATATGTTACATGTTAGTTGATTTGTTTATAAATCTATCAACTATGACTCAACCATTGTCATATCATTGTAGATAAATTTAGAGATAGAGTTTAACATATACCTCTTGTATTAATAAAATTGACTCAAAGGGGGTTGGGGCCCTCCCGACCCTACGTAGTTCTACTCCTAACTCTACCTCAACTACACTACTCTTCCACTATCATCATAACTACTATCCGTTCATCTCCATCACTATTACCATTGGCACTACCAGTGGCGTCCTTACTACCACAACATAAAATTTAAAATAATTTTTTTTTAATTTTATTTTGCATATATCAAATAACTTATTTTAGTTTAACAACTTTTTACTTCAAAATTTTCAGCATGCAATTATCAATTTTTAATTTTATCAAACGCAACTTATATATATGGATAGATTTATTCTATCCCTTTATTTTACTTCGTATGTTTATTGATAATAGAAATTATGTGCAACTATAGGAACCACTCTATTTAAATTTAAGGGTAAATTACAAATACATTTCTTGAGATTTACTTAAATTACAAATTATCCCATGTGGTTCTAGAAATTACATTATGTCTTCTAAGGTTTCTAATTTCATAATAAATATGTCATTTTATTAATAAATCATCAAGTTAATTAACAGTTTTTAATAATGTTAAAATTTTATTTCAATTAATAATTCATATAATTTTATTATTGTATAGATGAATAGTTAGAAATTTCACATTTTCAATTAATTCTATTAAATAAAAAATTTTGACGGAAAGATATTTGTAATTTTTTAAACCTCAGAGAGTGTATTTGTAATTTATCCTAAATTTAACCATCTATAATACATAGCTGGGGATTTGATGAATTTAAATTTTTATGCAGTGCAAGTTAATTATTTGGGTGTGCCTTAGTTGATAAATTTTGCAGGAACTACATACGTATTAACCCCTTGCTAGTTTTGAGTGGATAGCAATCAGTGTGTTTGGTTTGAGTTTTTTGAATTAAGTTTTTTAAAAATTGACTTTTTAGATTTTCATATATTTTTTGTTTTTAGTGAATATTTTTTAAATTTTAAATATTTTTTTTACTTTTTTAGATGCACCTTACTTAGATGTATCTAAAAAGTAAAAAAAATATTGTGAAAAAATATTTTAAAAAATTAATAAATACATAAAAACACAAAAAATGTATTGAATTCTTGTATTTTTTTTGTATTTTTGGTATTTAGTGAATTTTTAAAAGATTTTTTTTACATTTTTTTTTTACTTTTTAGGTGTATTTATGTTAGGTGTGTCTAAAAAGTAAAAAAAATTGCTTAAAATATTAAAAAAAATTCAGTAAAAACAAAAAAATACAAAAAATATGAAAGTAAAATTTTTTAAAAAGTGTTTTTTTAAAAGTAAAAACAAACAAGGTGAATGATGTCCTTGATTTGGGTCGTTTGTCGTTCCGTTGCTAGTGTAATACAAGATTTGAGATTGTATGTCAACAACTTTATTCCTTTTTTAGCAATTCTTGTTTTTGTGTGGATAAATTGGCCAAAGGTTTATGGAGGAAGAGGTACGAGGGATTTGAGAGTGGATTTGGGGTGATTGTTGTGTTAGTCAAATGGGTTTATTTTGGGATTAATGATCAAAACCGTTCACATTTTAAAATATATCGAGTAGAACATACTTATAAAAAATCAA